ACGAAACAGTCAAAGGGTGCCAACCAAGATGATGCTGCAGGTGATTCAGAGAAAGGTAAGAGTCATGGCACCAAGAACAGTGGAGAGAAAGGCTGGAAATTTGACAAGAAAAAGGTGAAGTGCTATAATTGTCAAAAGCTTGGGCACTTTGCTCGTAAGTGTTGGAAGGGTGAAGGGTCCAAGGCGAAGTCCAAGAATCAAGCTACCTAGTTAAAGATGATGCTTCATCAGATTCAGATATAATAATGCTCATGGCAAAGACCAATGAAGAAAGTCCAAAAGAATCATCTTCATCTCGATTCCGGCTGTTCTACCCACATGACTGGACGTCGGGATTGGTTCATCAAGTTAAGTGATGTTTCACACGGGAAGATCAGGTTCGCTGATAATCGGAGTCTGCAAGCAGAAGGGAGATGTCGCGTGGTGTTAATTGATCATGAGAATAGAGAAATCATCTATGATGATGTTCTCTACGTACCCGAATTAAAAACCAACTTGCTATGTCTCGGGAAACTTCTACAAAGAGGGTTCTTTATGGAGTTGAAGGAGAATGTGCTTAGCATATTTGATCAAGATAAATGGTTGGTGATTCATGCCAAACTCTCGGATAATAGAACATTTAGAGTGGGCATGAACACACGTAAACATGAGTGTTTTGCTTCCGTGGTTGATGAAGGAGAATGGTTGTGGCACAACAGGTTTGGGCAGCTTAATTTCCATGATTTGTATAGACTCAGTAATGATAATCTTATTATAGGGTTACCACAAATCAAAATACCAGAAGAAGTCTGCTTAGAATGCATCCAGTGCAAGCAAACTAGGTTGCGCTTCAAGAAATTTGTTGGTGGAAGAGCAACCAAGAAGCTAGAAGTTGTGTACACTGATGTTTTTGGTCCTATATAGGTCATAACTCCAGGAGGGAATAGATACATACTCACTTTCATTGATGAATACACACGAAAATTGTGGGTGTATTTGCTTTCACTCCAGGATGGCCGACAGGCAGAGTGGGGAGAAGTTGAAGGTCTTGCGTAGTGATGGAGGTGGTGAGTATTCATCAATGAACTGCAGCTCATTTTGTGAGAAAGAGGGAATAATTCATGAGAAGACTCCGCCTTATACTCACCAACATAATGGAACTGCGGAACGTATGAATAAGACATTGCTGAACATGATACAGTGCATGCTGAAGGGAAAGAATGTTCCAAACCAGTTCTGGGGAGAGGCAGTCGTTACTGCTACACACGTGTTGGTATCGCGCAACGGAATGTTTGCGTGTGGGACAAAAAACAAAAGGGGGGGTGAATTGGTTTCTTATAAAAACTTTTCCCTTTTAAAAATTTTCACAAGATTTTATCGATTAAACAACAATTGTAAAGTAAAGAAATAAGAGAAAGAAGATTACACAAGTAATTTATACTGGTTCGGATCAAAAGATCCTACGTCCAGTTGTTAATCACTCTAAAAGAGGATTAACAAAATCACTATAATCACAGTTTGAAACAGATTACAAATTACAAAAGATAAGGATTAGAAAACACTTCTCTTGAGTCACACAAGAGATGAACATCTCTTTTGAATCCATAAAGGATGACGACAGTTTTTCCTAGAGAAGGCACAACACACAATCTACTAAGAAACTCACTCAGTGATTTTTATTGCTTCTAGCCCACACTAGGTTTCAAAAGCCCCTTTTTCTTCCCTACACAAAGTTCTCTAGCAATCACAACTCTTAACTTTTGTATGAAAAATGTTGTTTTACAGAGAGCCTGAAATAGAGATTTTAGGGTTTAGAAATTAAGATTTTCGAAATTAGGTCAGAAATTTGAAAATCAAAATCATAACTGACATAAATAATCGATTATCATAAGTGATAATCATTCCAGAACCATGTTCGCAAAATACACAACTTAGCCAGGATAATCGATTATCAACAGTGATAATCTGTTATTCCAGAGACTTTCAAAGACCCAGGAAAGCTAGGATAATCAATTATCAATAATCGATTACTGATAATCAATTATCCACATGTGACAATCGATTATCACAGTAGGTTTTGGATAAAACAAACTTTCAATGGACAGACTGTGTGCTGACTATCTTGGACACTATTTTTACAGACTCAAAATGATAAAACAGGGTTATTACAAGTAGATACAACTATATATGAGTTTTCTAATCTTGAAGTCTTTTGTCTCTAAAGAATCATCAAAATCTTCAGACATCATATCTTTGTATTTTCAACAATCTCTCTATTTTTTATGATGATTAAAATATGCTTTAAAACCCTTTGTAATAACTTGTTTTTACTGTCACAACTAACATAGAAAAGAGATTAAACATACCAAGCTTTAAATATTTTCTCCTCCTATTTTATCATAATCAAAATATATAAGTTCCCCCTCAACATGTGCATAAAAATAATCAACTGCCCCTAAATATGTGCAAAAAAAGATATTTATTGAAGTTGAGCAAAAACAATACAACATATAGAAAGGTAAAAAGAAAGAAAATTTTCTAAGCTTAAAAGGAGAGAAAGGAAAAATGCTAAAATTCTTCGCTTTCAGAGTCACTATTAAATTTCATGTCAAATCTGTCTTTAAGATTTGACACACGTTCATCGACATCTGATGTGTTCATTGGTTATCATGTAATAGGGGGATATAAGTTGTTTGATCTTGCCATAAAACAGGTTTCGATCAACCATGATGTTACGTTCAATGAGGCAAGCAGCTAGTCATGGGATCGTGTTGAAGAAGAAGAAAACACTACAAAAGTGACTTTCGATGAAGAAATTGACTCAGAAGATCAGGACCGAGGTGAAACATCAGCTACAAGAAGATCACAACACACATCACATCTTCCTTCATGTCTGAGGGACTACAAAATCTTTGATGATTCAGCAGTAACAGCGGATGGGAGCTTGGTTCATTTTGCGTTGATTGCAGAGGCAGAACCCGTAAAATTTGAAGAAGCAATGAAGAATCCTCACTGGCTGAGTGCAATGGAGGAAGAGATTAACTCCATCGAGAAGAACCAGACCTGAGAACTTGTCCCACTACCACCTGGTAAGAAGCCCATTGCGCTCAAGTGGGTCTATAAGATGAAGATGAATCCTGATGGAGAGATTTTGCGCTATAAAACGAGACTCGTCGCCAAAGGGTTCTTGCAGAGAGCAGGGATAGACTACAGTGAGGTTTATACACCTGTTGCTCGACTGGAGACGATTAGATTAGTGGTTGCTTTTGCCATAAACTCTAACTGGTCACTGCATCAGTTAGATGTTAAATTCGCTTTTCTCAATGGCCCAGTAGAGGAGGAGGTTTATGTGCAGCAACCCAGTGGCTTTGAACATCAGGAGAAGAAAAACAAAGTTTATAGACTGAAGAAGGCTCTATAAGGACTTAAGCAGGCACCGAGAGCGTGAAATAAACGCATTGACACATTTCTTGAGCAGATTGGATTCATCAAGTGTAAATTGGAGCACGATATTTACGTGAAAATGCAACAGCACAACAATGAGAAAGTCATTATTTGCCTATATGTTAACGATCTCCTGGTCACTGGAAACACTGAGAAGTTGATCTGTGAGTTAAAGCGTGATCTCCTTTCAAAATTTGAAATGATTGATCTGGGAAGCTTGAGCTACTTCCTCGGCATAGAGTTCAAGAGAACACCCATTGGGATGTTGCTACTTGAGACGAAGTATGCGAGGGACTTAGTAAAAAGATTTGGGATGCATCAGATTAACTCTGCAAGCACCCATGTAGAGTCGAGTTTGAAGCTTGAGCTAAGTCCTGACGAGGAAAACGTGGATCCAGCGCAGTATAGAAGTATCGTGGGCAGCCTGAGGTACCTTTGCAACACCAGACCAAATCTTAGTTTGAGTGTTGGCTTGGTTAGCAGGTATATGCAGGAACCAAAAGCGTCTCATCTGCTTGTTGTAAAGTGCATTCTAATGTACCTTTATGGAACATTGAAACTGGGAATCATGTTTGTCAAAGGAGAGAACAAACTGGTTGGGTATTGGAGTGGTGATAGGGATGATAGAAAGAGTACGACTGGGTATGTGTTTTTTCTTGGAAGAGCACCAATCTCTTAGAGCTCTACGAAATAACCCATTGTAGCTCTTTCAAGTTGTGAGACTGAATATGTTGCAACATCCAAAGTAGCATTCCAAGGAATCTGGTTGACAACACTGATGAGAGAATTGGGAGTTGAACAAATGCAGAAGATGAAGTTATTGATTGATAATCAATCAGCAATAAGCCTCGCATAACATCCAACTCTACATGGTAGGAGTAAACATATAAAGCTTAAGTACCATTTCATTCGGGAGCAAGTAGCAGCTGGGAAGCTAGAGATTGATTACTGCAAATCTAAGGAACAAGTCGCAAATGTTTTAACGAAACCTTTGAAAAATGAAAAAAATTCAAACGTTTCAGAGATAGTCTTGGTGTTGTAGATGTTTCATGTTATTTTTAGTTTAAGGAGGAGTGTTGAATAAGTCAAACTAAAAATACTTCTTTTGAAATTTCAGTTTTCTATTATCTGCACTTTGCCGGTTATAAATAATACTGCATTATTTCAGCTATATGTAATGCTTGTATCATTCATATATACGAGTATTTTTCTTTACTCTTTTTTAGTAAGTGTATCTTCCATCTCTAAGTTGTGATGAATTGTTATACAAGTGCTTAACAAGATTGGTGTTCAACTTTCTTTTACACATAAAAATATAAACACACTATAAGTTGTTTATATATATATATCCATTACTCAACTTTAACTAGAGCAACCCAATGTAAAATAATTATCACATATAGTATTATATTAAACCAACAAAAACTGAATCTGCTTATTGCTTGGAGCACAAGGATAAAAGTTTATCCTTACATTCTGCCAAAATAATAAAAATAATCACAAAAAAAAGAATTATGTATTTTCTAAGACTGATTCACATACATGACAAAGGATCTTATGAATTTACAATCAAACTTTTATCTAAATTCTAAAGAACTTCTCATACTATGACTAGAATTTTGTAGGCTAAGTTTGATGGTACCATTCTCAGAAGATTGACAAACATCAATGCACTCCTCTAAATCAGCATCACAAGTGAGTAGTACCCACTCACAATCATCATCCAAGTATTTGACATCAAATTTGCCCATGTCACTCACATTAAATCTCCTTGCAATTTCCTGCAGAAGATCTTCATAGCCCCAATTCTTGGGCATCCGAAACCGGGTTTTTTCATCACCATATGTGACTTTTACTCTCTGAGCATCCACCTTGCTACTTGTTTTCAATAAGGGTCGTTGATACTGATTTTTTAGGTGTTCACCCAGTGTTTCCTGGCTAAGTGATCTTGTCAAGACCTTTCCTTTATCCTGATTCAAGCTTTTAACCTCTGCTTCGCTCCTGATCCTCTTCAACACAACATCAGCAGAATCTTCACCAGCCATGGTGGGATCTTTGCTACCGGCAATGTTAGTTGTGTGATGCTGCTGTAGCTCAGACATGCTGGAGCAGGAATGGCTTGAAGTGGAACTCTGAGTGCAAGACGAAGAGGGTGATTTTGATGTGCCTTCTGGACTCAATGCACCAGGATCTGGCTGTATGCTTATGCTGTTTGGATTATCAGTTGTTTGATTCAAAGTTGAGAACAGGGTGGCTCCTGATAAATTTGGAGAAGCTAGGTCCGGGAAGTTTGAATAGAAGGAATCGATTTGAAATGCGCCAGATGCACCTTGAACCGAATCAATGACAAGTTGAAGTTTCTGTAAGGAGTGACCAACCTTTTTTATCTTTCGGGATGGCCAACGTTTTATCCCGTGTTGCCTGCAGATCCTTTTCAGGGTTGTAGTACACACTGCCAAATGTTTTAATATAGAACATGGTTATAATGAAATGAAAGAGATTACTAATAGATATGCGCAGAAAAGCACTAGCATATATAAATGTAATAGGAGTTTTTTTCTGTTTTTGCCATATAGGAAAACCTATAAAAATTACTAACATATAATAATATGTCAGAGAACTGAACCATTCGAAACTTAGACCCAATTTAGATAAACTTCTCAATAAGCCGAGTAAAAGACCAAACTTTTTAAGATTTATTTCTATGTTCTGTGATGTGGGACTTCCCAATATCAACTACCTACCAAATCAGGTGAACTTACTATTATAGTTATAATTACCAAGATAAATTATAAGATCTGATAACATTCAGATTTCATCTTAAAGCTAATTAGTATTAAGTTATCTAACATATATCTAAGTTATATTCCAAAATATTTGAGAGAGGTAATGTGAGACTTTTCTAGCAAGATGCACTTTGTAAGAATGAAACAGTACAAGATATGAGGTTGATAACGTGGCTTAACATCTTACAGTTCCATTCTGTTCTATCTACTTGACAAACAGTCCCTAGTGTTTGCACCCAAAAACAGTAAAAGAAACATGCTCATGAAGAGGACTTACCACCGATATTCTTTGCAGCATCTTTTAGGCTTCCGGCAAAATATTGTCGAAGAACTTGCAAAGTGATAGTTTTCTCTGCTTTTGCCCGTCTTCTCTCTCCCATTTTACTAATTCCCACACTTGATAAGTTACCCTCAACAGAAGTAGAACACTCCCTGACACAGTCAGGGTTTCCTTTTAAGATAAGACTTTCTTGTTGCTGCCTTGGATCCGAGAACTTTCTACCAATTGTTTCACTTAATTTTTCTTCAGTATCCAACGAGGAAACTATCCCTTTGTGCTGAAGTTCCTCGCAAATTGCACTCCTAGAAAATCCACTATCTGCAACGGATATCACTTTATCAGTTGACAACTTAGCTTCCTCCAATTCATTATCACTTATAACCCGCAAGCTGCGACAAATCCTTTGTATAATGGTGGACAATGAAGTAAGCATCTTTCTCTGCTCTTCACTGTCATTGCAATCCACAGGCAAGAAAAACTCTAGAACAAAGTCATCGGTGCTACTATAGATGCTTCGCAAGCGGATGGCAACAGCAGCACGCAATCCAAACAACCTCGCATGATGAGACAGTGGATAGTCTTTCTTGCTTAAGGAAGTTATGTCATCTGAGAAACATGGTTGGTTGGTCATAAAAGCTCCCCCGGCAACACCTTCACCCTTCAACAAGTGATGCTCAGTGCAAGCCTCATGAAAAGACCTGATTTTGGGATCACCAACATAGCAAGCATGCTCCACAGGTGATATACAAAGTAGATAATTATCTTCAGAGTGTCGACACCCCTCTTTGCCTTGTTGGACACATGGGATCCAAGTTTGAGCTAAAGGTAATTTGTGCATTTCACATGCAGATCTCAACACCTGTTGAATCTCAGGTAGTGCAGCTTCATAGGACCTGTTGCATTCCTGCTAAAAAAAAAAAAAAAAACTTGTCACAAAGAGAATTGCAAACGTAAGTTCATTAAAATCCTTCCTCTGAGTTGACCTTTCATTTACCTTCACATTCTGAATACTTAATTGTTTGGAGCTTCTAAGATCCACAGCCTGCAGGTTAATACCATTCTCCAATCATCAAACTGGTATTAATGAGTTTTGATGAGCTTTTCATACTTGGCATATTAAGTGTTAACCATATAAGCCTTTATACTCAAATATGTAAAATTAGAGCACTTCAAACACAACTCACAAGAGTGAAAATAAAACATCAGATAACCATTAAATATGAGTTCACAAACAAGACCATGGCATATTTTGCAAAATCCTGGGGGTATCTAGGGAAAAAAGGGACATACAGAGAGAACTTTTTGAGCAGCAAATGCATGTTCAAAACAACCTAAGATAAAATCTGACTATTCCAAAACCTTGGTTCAACTTTTCCTGGGATATTTACCCACACACTGCTTTATTCTAAAAACAACAGAACAGAAAAATTGAAGAAAATAGGAAAGGAGAAAAACCTCAAGTGCTTTGCAAACACTCTCAAGTTCAGGACCATAGTTGATCTGCTGAGTAGTCATCACAACCTCAATAACCCCCAAGCACATCTTGCTCCCTTGCTCGAAGATTGGAACTGCTAGTGACCCGCGCACATCATACTCTTGAGCATGGTCAACTCGCGGGTACTCATCACTCCTAAAGAATCTAACATCAGGAGTCCACTCAGGAACCTTGTCCCTAAACACTCTACCGGGCAATCCTGGCAACAACTCCTTGGACTCACCCTCCTCTGCTGGCACCAACTCCTTGACCTCACCCTCCTCAGCAGAAAACTCATACCCCACAGAGATTTCACGGTACTTTGCAAGGTTCACAGACCTTGAATCAAGTGAGAACAGAAGATCATTAGCTGCGAGAATCGGCCTACCCCCTCTAAGTACCGGCACCCATATCTGTATAAGCATATCTTTGTTCCTATTGTAATCTTTGATCCACATGAGGGCCCTAAGCAGCTTCTCCATTATAGAAGGTCCAGGTGCAGGACTAGGTGTGGGTGCAAACCACCACCTTCTGACCCCTTCAGATGCACCTTCAATTGAAATAGTTTCAGGCTGAAACTGCTGACCACCTCCACCACAAGCAACAACAACATTAACCATGTTGTTGTTGTGGCCTTCTTGTTGTGTTCCAAAAGCAGCACCCTGGGATTCATTGTGGTTGGTCTCCAAGGCAGGCCAGGAGAATGAAGGGTCAAAGAGGGGATAGGAAAAGGAAGGACTTTCCAGCAAGAAGTCAAATCCATCAGCAGAGGCTTCCAACCAACACCCATCTAAGAAAAGCTCACCCATGTAGTCAAAATCCATTGAAGTTGTTGTTCCATCAGGTGGTGGAGCTTCCATCATGGTAGCAGATGATGATGTCACACCATCATCTCCCATCATGGGTAGCTGCTTCAACAACAATTTTCTCCCACAACAACACAAGCCTCTCCTCCCAAACGGATCTCAAAATTATTGTCTCGTCAAAAGAGAACAATCCAGGATTGGATTGGATTGGGTAATATCTATCAAACCCTGTCTTCTGTCCAAAGTTGTCAATAATGTCAGTTAGAGCAGATTATATCTATGTTCCAACAAATAATATGGGAGGAATAAGACACAGCGACAAAAAATGATGTTTTCTTTTCTACTGAATATCTGAACAGAGTCAAAATAACATAAGCGGTGATTTTGTAAAACCAACCCGAAATTTTGACACTCTCATAGAAATAGAATATATACCCCGTCCAAATTCATGATCAGAAAGGAGGGAGCGAAAAAAGAAGAGAGTTGGACCAGATAAACGGTACCAGTGCTCAGAAAGATTCTCTCCCAGCAATACTACACTTCGCTGCAAATGGTAAACAAGATTCCACCTCTTGTGAATGAAGCCAATCTTGTTCAAAGAGGAAAACAGCAGAAATAAACTTGGTTAAGTAAAGCTGAGAAGGAGAAAGGGAATTTGAATAACTGGACATGTAAAGATTCTTGAAGATACCACAACTTGTTTTGTTATTTTTTATTATTTTTATTTTATTGTTTGCAGTTTGCAGTTTGCACACTCCACTGTTAACTGTTTACTATAATGTCCCCCCACTCCAGTCCATGCCATTGCCAACCCCAAAATAGTAATAAAAAAAAGGCCAAAAGAAGTTAAACAGTGCAGGTAGTAAATGAGTAGTATTTTTAAAGAAAAAAGATGGCAGTGGTGAAAATGAATATGTGGGAAGGGTAACCCCAAGGAGAAGATAATAAGGAAAGGGTTAGACTTGGAGAAGTAGCACTCGCAAGCATTTGTATAGTAGTAAGTTAGTAGAAGGAGCCACACAAAGGTGATGTTTTCAACCAAAGGGGGAGAAGATACTGATGCACACTCCTACCCCACACAACCCAAACTAGCTTTGTAACTCTCGTTCTCGCGCTAAAGTCAAACCACAAACCCACCCAAACTATGCTCAAACACAAGACATGTTCTATCTCAATCATACCTTTTAGCTTTTATACTTAAAAATATTTCAATTTACTTTTTAGACTTATATATTTTAATTTTTATGATAAATTATAAATTTATAAAAAAAAATACAAAAAAGATATGAACGTAAAAACTAAATAAGTGATTAGTTTTTGTATTCTGAACAAATAATGATAGAACTAGAACACACCCAAACATTGCCAAGTATGTGTCAATGTAATATTGTGATTAAAAGTTCAAATTTTAAATAATTTCATTCATTTTAACTACTGAAGATCAGAAAATATCTTTGCAGAGTGTTGTAAATGTTTACCAATCAGGAAATTTAAAATGAGGGTTGTAAATTTGAAAAGGAAAAGGTGGAACTTTTTATAGAACTCTGAGGTCCTAGTCAACCCAAATTTTCTTAAGCAAACTCTGGTACTCTACTTTCATGCAGAGAGCATTGTTTTTTCCCTTTTTGTTATTGTGATTCTAAATAAGTTGTATTTGCCGGAATCAGAATCCTTGAGAGTGAGTAAGAGGAGTGTTGCTGTTGCCCGTCCCACAATTGTCACGATCTCTGCAATTTGCAGAAACCTTTTTTCTTTTTTCTCTTGGTGCTTTCAGCTGAAAGCCTCACAAAAATATTAAAATGGAATTTAGAAAATAAATAATTGTGGCTCACGCTCGTATGGGACCCCTGCTGTTTTGTTGTTTGACTTTAGTTTATTGAAGATGACCTCAACTCCTCTTCGCCTCTTATTTTCGTATATTATTCATGCGATCATTGCAGATACAAACTATGGTTTTTTTAATTTTGTTTATTATGAAAAGTAATTACTTTTTTATTCCAATTTCAGTACTGGACATTATATTGAATTTTTTTTATTAATGTAGTTTAAATGAATGCAAAATTTAATCATTATAGTGCTAGCTATTATTGAGTGTGTCGTCTGACTTAGAGATATTAAAGATTGAACTTGTGAAGAGAGACTAATATAATTTATTTATTTATACAGAAAAGATAATTTATTTTTATTTTTTTGCAAAAGTGTAAAGAAATGTGTAAAAAGTAATACAATTTATTATATTATATACATAATTCATTTGTCTAAAATAAGTTAAAATAGGTTTTATATATATATATATATATATATATATATATATATATATAAATAATTACTCATAATTGTGTTAGTATTTTCACTCCTCGGGAAAATAATACTATTTTAAAAAACTTAAAGGAATACATAATTTTATATAAATGTTTTTTTTTAAATACTGGAGAAAAAAAATATATTGTCAGAGAACCATATCCGCCTAGGAAGGTTAAAAAGTTATTTTAAGTACCGTTATCAATTTGTATTAGTATTAACAACAAAATTATTTAATAAATGATAAAATAGTTTAATATAAATATCATTATAAAAAAATATTTTTTTAGGTAATGATATAATAATAACGATGGTGATAATAACAAATAACTTTAAAAATATGTTGAAGGAATAAATAAAATTATTATCTTTTACTATTTATATTTTTTACTTGTTTTTTCTTTATTTTTTCCTCTAGAGAATTAGTTCAGATTAACATGTTTATACAATCTTTAAGATGGATACAAGAAAAAAAAGCTACAGTTTTAGCTAAAAAGTGTATGTTTTCTCCAATATTAATTAGAGTCATAAAATAGCAAAAAATTTACCATTAAAAACAATCAATTTAATAATTTTATTTGAGATATTTTTCAGCCAATCATTTTATCACTCATTAATATCCCACTTTAAGATCAGACATTCTACAAAGTGGATAAAATCAACTTCAATATACTCTTTATAAATTTGAGTAAATTTTATACCAAAATAAAAATAAAAATAAAATTAGAAATATAAGTAAGTCACCTTTTAAAATACGATTCTAGAAACAAAAAAAAAGTTTTAAAATACGACTCTTTTTATTAAATAATATAAATAATGTTTTAAAACACTTTTTTTAAAAGAAAAAAAATAGGGGGGGGGGGGGTTGTCTTTTGCCTGTATCTCACGATAAAAGAACAAAATAATTTGTTAAAACATTGTTTACTCATAACTCATATAATCATCTTGTAGAAATATATCTATTTTTTTACTTTTATTTTAGTTGACTTTTCTGAAGAGTAAAAAAATCAAATCTACCTTGTTGTTCCAATAAGAAAGTCAAAGGCTAAAAATCACTCTTACACAAGAATATTACAAATTTAAGTATTAAGGTAATCTCAATTAAGATTTATTCAAAATAAAATTAATCTAGTAACGCAAATCAATTCAAGAAAATTATTTATATGTTTTCTTAAAAAAGGTTGTTTATATAAAGGGTTTACAAGATAAAGTTCAATCATTAAAAAAAACATTAATTGATTATATATATATATATATATATATATATATATATATATATATATATATATATATATAAGACGAATTGAATCCATTAATCTTATATTTTAGTTTAAAATTTCAAATTAATTTTTCTTATAATTTTTCGTTTTTCTTATTTTAATATATAATAATCTGTCTAAATATGTAAATAGTCTTTCTATATAAAAGAAAAAATTACAGCTTATTTCATCACAAATCATCATTATAATAAAGTTATATATTCATTATTATAATATCTCTCATACAAATTATATTACAGTCATTTTTAATCAAATGACAATTTAAAATCATTTAAACTAGCATAGAAATTTACCAATTTATCAACATGAAAACTTGACACTAATAATGTATCCAATCAAGAAACAATTAACCTATTTAAACGTTATAGTTATTACAGAATATTCAAGAATCATGAATCTAATGTTACAATTAAATGTTTTTCTGCTTTAAAATTTATTTTTTGAGAATTGTGTGTTTGATCGATTACCTAAAAAATAACTTGTAGAGTCTGACTCTTAAAAAAAATACCAAATTTATGACATATACAAAAGAATTTTTTTTTTTAACATCTATGTACATAAACTGTTCAAACAACTTGAAAAAAAAAAAATCATCATTTCATTCTAAAATATTAGTCACTTGAAATTTTTGATGAAGAATTGAAAGAAAACTAATTTCATATATAAAATAATGTTTTTAAAACGATATATCTCTGATATAATAAAGATTGAGTAAAAATCAAACCTTTACTTTGAAAAATAAAATTCTGCCACTACTCCATAAAATACTTGTTAATTTTAAATTTTGCAGAATAATTGAGAATCATTTGTTCTAACCCCTACAGAGGAAATTAAATATGGAATTGAATATCCTTTTGTTCTGCAGCTGCGTGATCTTCATAATTTTCTTGAAAAGAAGAAAAACAATTAATTTGTAATGCTAAATTAAATCATGTGAAGAAAGTGCAGAGACAGAAAGAGAAAGCTCAAAAGATTATAAATATTCCCTTGATGTCGTAAAATGATAAATAATCTTAAATGGCGAATATTTATTTAAAGCTAAAACGAACTTTTACAAGGCCTATTTCCTCCTCTGTCTCTGTAACTGCCAGAGCGTAGAATATTTAGAGGTGAGAAATTCAAGATATTAATTAGATAATTTAATTTTTCAAATTTCTGACTTAATTATATATTTTCTTCGGTTTGAATTATGCGTCAATTTGGATTTAACTTTTGAAGTTATTTAAGTTTCTCTATGTTCAAAATCAAGCAAATTTGATTTTTCTATCAACTACACTTTGCTTAAAATCATTAAACTCTCATTTTCTATCTAAATATTTTAATATTTATGATGAATTTATGATGTATGAGATTGAGATTTAAAGAAAAAAAAATTAAAGAACCAATAGTATCAAAGTTATTCATCTTAGTTCGTTTCATTTCATCCTTGATAAATCATAAGGAAGAATCTCCCACTCTCAATGACGTGAGGAAAGCATGGACTGAGTCACGCTCATGCATTACAAGTTTTAAGAAACTCGAGAAGAAAAGTGATTGATTTGCAAATTATGACGTGAGATCATAAGATATTTTTTTTTTCTAATTTTATTACCAGATGTACAAAGATCACGACTTTGGGCACGAGTATTGAATTTGTCATTGAATTATGAGAAAGTAGTAGTAATATATTTAACGACTACGTATTAGTATTGTACGAACATGTTTCATTGACAAAAGTTATATGTGTCGGAGTGAAACCGACATTAATAGTTATTTATTAGGTTGTTAGTTGCAGTTTAACTTATGCAAAAACAAAAACTATTTAGTAAATTTAATTATAATAAAATAAATGTATGCAAAAATCGTTTTTTCTGTCACAATAAAAATTTATATGTAACATATTTAAAGGGATTTGAAATGTTGCAGGGCATAACTCCTCCATATCTGTACAGGAAACGAGATCATCATGGTTAAGAATTGAGATTATGATGCAATCATATGAGTCTAATTTTCGTTACGTTTTTATTATTTGGGCACAATTTGGGATGATTGTAATCAAAATGATTTAAAAAGAGTTAGGGGAAGGAAAATAAAAGTGGTCCATTTTCAAGTTGACGTGTCGAACATTTATTTATTAAGAGGTTGGAATTAATAGTGGTTCGCGTTTACGAGTGAAAATGGTAAAGTGAGAGGAGATTCCCAATGAAATAGTTTAAATACTACAACGAGAATAAGAATCCAACCCCACCAAATGTTTTTTAATTGGTTTGACGCTAAGAGATACAGAAGAAGGGTGAGACCCACTATCCACCACAAAATCTGACAACAACGCCAATATTCGGTCTCATACGGCAACCCTAACCGAGTCCTCAAAATCAAAACCGATGTCTCTTTCTCTGTGCTGGAAACATGACGTCGAAATTCTAACTATTCAAATTCAATTTAGCTCAATAATATTAGTATTAATAATATTATGAATTGTAGGACTTCGTTTGGATGTATACGGCATCTGGGGAAGGTTCTAGTTTCAGGGTAGCATGTGTTTGCGTTGTGGGTGTACTTTCTGCATGTACTATGTTATTGCTGTTGCTGCATGCTACCCCCAACATCATTATTGTTAGGTTTCATTGTATGACGATGATTTTATTAGAAAATATAAAACTTAAACCAGCGTCTCACTATATTGTTTTTGATGAATAATATTTTATGCATTGTTTGATTTAGAGAAAAAAAAATGTTAAATTTAAATTAATGATATTAAAAATAAATAGATTTTTATTCTACTCAAACATTGTGTTATTATTATTATTTTCATTTTATCCAAAGACGTGGTTAGTGTTGGAAATAACATAGAGAGGACACGCAAAATCCTCTATATTTCTCTGCACATGACCGACGAACACAGAATGTTCATGACACCAAACGACAACGGTGGCTTTATCTTCTTAAAGATTATTATGATTTTGTAAGATTCTTCATACATGATTTGTATAGAAAATATATATAAAGTACCGAAAAGGTTGATATAACTAAGATGGTGTCAAGCAAATTTAGTGAGGTTGTTCAAACATATCATATGAATTGTTATAATTTTTGTGTGTGTTTAATTCTTACAAGTAAATTGTACCTTCAAATTCTTAATTTTCTTTTCTTGATTAGGTTAAAAATTGGTGCGAGAAAAAAATTTAAGGTTGGTTTGGAAGTGTTGATAACTGGAATGGGAGCATTAACCAAATTGTAGGGGACCAAAATGGGCACTTATTAACCACGTCGTTGATAAGATCAATGCAACCAACTTGGTCGCATGGCGTGTTCTTTTTGTGTTTTTGATGGTGCTGCCACAACTATAGAACAAATCAAAGACAGTGTAGGCCCAACCAAAAGGTCACCCAGGCCCATAAGTGGACCCAAGGTTTTCGCCACCATGTTGCCAGTAAGTAACTATAAGGGACAGGTGTCCCTCTAGGAGTGGTGCAAAATTACTAAAGAAAGAAAGAGATTTTTTAACAGTGGAGAGAGGTGCTGGACAATATTCAGCCTCCTTTTTTTGTGATTGGGAAAAAAGACAGAGTGGAAAATAAAAGAAAAAAATTAAAACTATCAGAAACAGGAATTATTTAACAAAAAATAGATAGCAAACAGAGAAGAAGGAGAGGTTTTTATTGAAAAACCAATTAATATTATTTTACAATTATTATTTAATTAAAATCATTATTTTTGTATTTGTAATTTATATTAACATTATTTTTATTCACATTTTTAGTCTATTTACGTAGAAACAGTTTCACGTGGACCCATAAACTTTCTTAGCATTTTTAATGTAACTAATAAAAAATATATGAAAAAAAATTAAGAGATATCTTATAAATTAAAGAAAATTCAAATAGAAATAAATTATACGAACGAAGATATATAATTTCTACGTGTCTCAATGGTTGTTCAAATCAACATAAATTTTTTTTAAGTTGGTGATAACTATTTTAAAGATTATGCTATTTTTTTATTAGTTAATAATATAATATTTTTATTTTTATAAAATAACAAATAATTTGATACGTTAGTCTACACATAACAAATAAACGAGATGAAGGGAAGAATTCATAAAGATTGATACTCATTTAACTCAAATACTATGCTGCCAACGCTCAGAAGTCCATTATGAATATTCCGGAAATACATTATGAATTAATTTAGGTATTATGGAAATGAATTTCAGAATAATACATAGAATGTATTTTTTAACACTTAATCTGAGAAAAAAAGATAAATATAAGGATGAAATAAAATTTATTTTAATTATGAGATGTTGAAATAAATTATGGATTTATAGGAAACCATCTAATTCAAATGAGTCACCTGAAGTCCTTCTTGATTGTCTTCAGCCCATCAAATTTCATATACTTTTTATCCTTAAAAAAAGTACACAGCATTATTGCACGGAAAAACACAAGATTATTTTCAAACCATTAAGGTCGATTCTTTTACAGAACCACTAATCTCAATTTAACTCACAGATATGCTCGAATCTATCATATAATATTTTTTTTTCATTAAATTAGTCCAGTGAGTCCAAACTGAAATTCATTTACTTGGAATCACAACGAAGGTGGTAAACAATAAGTCTAAATATCAACAAATATTTAACGGAGTTTATAAATTCATTTGTATAAAAGTGAAAAGTTCTTCTTTATTATTTTTATTAAAACACACCTTTACAACATTAAATTATGTTAAAAATCATAAGAATTCAAATAATAATTAAGAAACTAATATTTTTTTAGTTTAAATAATATCATGTTTTGCTTTGTCTTTTTATTTTTATTTTTTCTTTAAACGTTTTCAACTTGGATTGACACACATGATAAGAAGTTTATGCAGCTTTAACTAAGTGATTGAGATTTGATTTCCGACTCTTAAAAAGTTGAAAAAACTTAAATTAAGAGGAGATGCTCACCATTTCAGTATTTGTCACATCTTTGAAGGATATTAATCCCTGTATTCGACAGTGATACTCCATAATATTGAACAACGAAAATATTTTTTGTAAACCCTTGCTTTATTTACTCAAGGCAATTTGATTTCACCAAATAAAATTACCATTGATGATGAAGTTCTTTAAAACAAAACTTCACAAAATATTAGAGTCGCCTAAATAAAAAACCAAAATGGAAGACTGGGGAGATTCTTCAAAATTTTAAAACAATGCTTACAAGAGAGAGAAATGAAAACGGTGACAGAAGAGAAAAAATTAGGAAAAACCCCAAGTGCAGTTTTTTCACATGTTTCTAGAGGTTCTAATTAAAATTAGTACCACTTTAATAATTTATGTAATAAATTTCAGTGTTGTTCAAAAGTCATTCCAACTATTATTAAACATAACACAAAAAAACACGTTAAATAAATACTGTATTTAAAATTTTATTCAATGAATTAAATGGTAATAGACTTTCAGATTGGGCTTTAAAATTTATCTTTCTATTTTGATTGAAACTATGCATTTCAAGTTTTGAAACAGAAATTGGAGAGATGGGAATTATTGCTTAAGAAATAGGAAAATGTGAAAGAAAAATAAGAAGTGTGAACTTATACCAAGTTGAATAGAATGATAGAGTTTAAAAGAGTGGAAATAATTGAGAGAAAAAGGAAAGATATTGACATTGAAAAAAAAAAATTATTACGCTTAGACCGCAGACTTGCATACTAACAATCTAAGCAAAGAGTTCATGGCTAAAAGCTACCTGCCAGGAATAACGGAAGTTCTAGCCAACACAAGCCACCCTTCAAATTCATGTTGACATTTTGTTATTGGTCGATTTTCATTTTAACTTTTGAACCACCCGAAAAACAATAATATGAATGAGATCTATTGGACCAGGGAGCTTCTTATCTAAATTTCCAGTCGATCATGTCAGACTATACCTGACAATCGAACCATATGTGTACATGGTAATAAAATTTTAGAATAATTTCAAGTTATCATTACTATTTTTTTTATTTAATACTTTTTAATAGGATAACAAGGAGGAACACATAGTCCACAACAATAGCAGAGGGAAACATGCCAACAAGGTAATAAATAGTAACACATACAAACGGCCATTTATCCGAAACTCAACGAGTTGCATGCATGGAGTCCTATGAGTAATACAACATGATATTGCAAGAAAAGGATTAGTCCTTCCAAAGGTTCCAAAATCACATCCTTATCATAATCTTTACACGACTGCAACTCTTACAATCATTCTGGGGTTGGAAGCATTATTAAATATTTGGCCTCATGTTCAGATGAGATGCTATCTTTTGGCCTAGAGAACGGTCAGCCTGCATGACAATTCCAAGAAAGAACAACATGTGAGCAAACCATACCGAGTAGCTCATGGATAAATTGGCATGTCTAAAATCTAAATCTCAGTATCTCACCTGAGACCAGTATGATATCCAGACACTGCGGATTTCGTGGGTGACACGTGGATCAGATAAAGCATCAACCCATCGGCGGATAAATCTATCTTGCCTGACAACAAGTAAAAAACAGCAGAGAAATTCTTACGTTAGACATTATCATCAAACGTATTTCGCATTGATCATATCAAAAGTTTATAGCAGGAACCTGTCTGGTGCCCAAGATCGGAATCTCTCTCCGGGCTGCTTGAAGTTGTTCTCCTTTTCAATTACACGCTGCGTTAAGAAGTAGAGTTGTTTATACATTCTTGCACTAATTAATGTCGGCAGCATTTCAACAGTTTTACCAGAGCTATTTATTGTTTTTCAAAATCTTTTTCATTTGTTTTACAAAGCATTAATGATTAATCTTGCCAATCCAAAAGCAATGCTAAAAAAGAAAACAGCCTGATCTTGTAATTTGTTTCTTCTACAATGAATAAACATTTAACAATGTTATGGGTCCATTTCTTTGCTTCCTTTCTTGTTAGATCAATTATACATAACATAGTGGCTCAGCAACAGTATTTTGTTTTAACAGATTAAAATAGAAAAGCATATAGAAGGAATAAACTTTTTGTCTAATGCTTCGGAGTTTTAATTTTTCAGAAATTTTTGTTAGAATTCTAAAATGTGTTGTTTGGTTTCTTAGACAAACAAAAACTAAAATGAACTAAGCAGCCAAAACTGAAACCCATGGCAGGTGGATTCCTTTGCTTACAGATTTCTACATTTGCATATTACACAACTGATAAAATCTAACCTTTTCACGCCTTCCAGAGCAGATAGCAGGAGGTATTGGGAACCTTTCTGCATGACGAACGGAGTCATACCTTGAAGGGAAGTAATTGACCTATAAACGGGCAGAGTTTAGTCACAAGAAAAAAAAAATGTAGAATAACTCAAGAATCAGTAGCCATATCACCCAAACAAGATGTGCGTGAATAATAACGGCAATAATGTAGTTAACAAGGCAACCAGCTTCTCGTGCAGGAAACGAATAAGAAAATATAAGAGTTAAAACCTTAACTTACCTCCTCATCCCTGTGCATGAAATTCATGAAACCGTCATGGTGATTGTTGTGGTGAGTACACTTGGGAGCATTAGCAGGAAGTTGCAGATAGTTTGGTCCAAGTCTGTGCCTCTGTGTATCAGCATAAGAGAATATCCTGGTTTGAAGCATCTTATCATCTGAGTAATATATACCAGGAACCACAATCGCAGGGCAAAATGCAAGTTGCTCATTCTCAGCAAAAAAGTTATCAATGTTTTTATTCAGGACCAAGCGACCAACAGGTTGCAAGGGTATAATGTCCTCAGGCCAAGTCTTGGTTACATCAAGAGGGTCAAAGTCAAACTTGTCTTCGTGCTCAGGATCTATTGTCTGAATGAATAGTTTCCACTCAGGATAGTTACCAGCAGCAATTGAATCATGAAGGTCTTGAGTGGCATGGCTATGGTTAGCTCCTCCCACCTTAATGGCCTCTTCCTCCAATAGACACTTCACACCACTCACGGTCTTCCAGTGAAATTTCACATACAGTGCTTTCCCAGCCTTGTTGATCAGGGTATATGTGTTAACTCCAAAACCATCCATATGCCTATAATCTTGTGGAACACCCAAATCATCGAATAAAAAGGTGAACATGTGAAGGCTTTCTGGAAAGTGAGAGAAGAAGTCAACGATCCTCCAATTCTCCTGGATGTGGTTCTTAGGATTGGGTTTAAGAGCATGGATCAGATCTGGAAACTTCATGCCGTCATGTATAAAGAAGACGGGAAGGTTGTTTCCAACAAGGTCAAAGTTACCCTGTTTCACAAAGTAAAAATAAGAATAATGTACAATACCAAACTACTTCCACTGCCATATTTCTTTCTTTTTAAAACTTTGTAGCATTTCAGATACTCAACTAGCATCCTCAGTTACAGTGCGAATTTTTTTAAAGGTTAAACTATATATTTGATTCTTCTAGTTGTCTCTGTACACAAAAATTGTAAGTTTTAATGTCTATGCATCGAGCTTAGTTTAAAATAGATTATTTTCCACCAAAAGCAGCTGGAATGTTTGTGGAAAAAACAAAAACTCTCCCAAACACGTTCTAAATAAGCAATATACTCATTAATGTATACCTCTCTGGTGTAAAATTTCACAGCAAAACCTCGAGGGTCCCTCAAAGTTTCAGGGCTACCACGCTCATGAATGACAGTTGAAAAACGGACAATTACTGGTGTCTGAACTCCAGGAGCTCGAAGGAAATCTGCACATGTCAGGTGAGAAACATCATGTGTGACCTCAAAGAAACCCTTTGCACTAGCTCCCCTGGCATGGACAACACGTTCTGGGATCCGCTCCCTGTCGAAGTTTGCTAGCTTTTCCACAAGATGATAATCCTCGAGGAGAATTGGACCTGCCAAAATGAATAAGGTAGCATAATTTTTCTCTTTTCTGATTAAATAATATTCATCCAAATTCAATTCAGCTATACAACAGAGCGATAAACACACATATAAGAAAAAAATGGAACTGTATTTGACCAAGATATTCCTCCGCACATAAAAAAGACTCATAATCTTTTTTCTACGTAATCATAACAAACATGCTGCAACATAGATAAATGAGTTCAAAGAATATACTATACATGAAGATATATAATCTATAAGGTAGAAATAACGCAAAGAATCAATACATATGCTAGTAGGATTCTATTTCGATAAACTTTTTCATGATTTATAATAAGGAGAAAAAATATGAATAAAAATAAAACAAGTCTCTCCCTTAAACTGAAATTAATTTATTCATAAATTAAAATAAACTTTTGGAGAAACTAAATGACAGCATTTTCACAAATTAATTAATACATAAACTAATTTGTCCTATTGCAAGAAGCTTAATTCTTTTTTTTTTCTCTTTTTTGTTTGAAAAAAAAATGAGACTTCGGTCTATACTTTTGGTTTAACATGGTTAAGATACTTAAATTTTTAAATTGATAAATTTGGTCCACAAATTAAAAAAAATAATAAAAAATATTTTAGTCCCTCCTTTCAAGTAATTCATTAATTTTCTAAAGTTAGGAGAAATTAAATACGCATGTTTTTTTGAAGTTCGAAAACCAGATTAAAAAGTACATGGACCTTGATCACGTTTTACAGAACATTTCAGAACTAAAAAAATTATTTTTCCTTATTTTCCCCACGTATGCTTATTGAAAGGTTTTTCTTAGAGTTGCATCCTGAATGTTTAATTACAAAAAACAGTCAGTCATAGTCTATATATACTCATTCACATAATCCACACATCCTGCACTAATATCCCTTACTACACACAATAAAACCCGTAAAATTATACTATTTACCGGAATTCTACTTCACCGGCATCAAAACAATGGAAAGTTTAACAGCAAACAAGAATTCATTCAAATGCGTAATTACGCAACAATTTCAGCTAAGAATAGAGATACCTCTAACTCCAACAGTTAAAGAGCTGTTGTTGTTCCAAACAGGAGCACCAGAATTTGTAGTCCAGAAGGGAGAATTGAAAGCGCTGGATGGCCGGTGCTGCATCACATAAAAGACCAGAAAGCAAACAGAGTGTGATAATCAGTTCACACCACAGTAGTTGCTCCACCAAACTCAAATTTCAAGGAGTTCACAAGTTTTAGCAAACATAATAGAGATTTGAACACCTTGAGATAAATGAAACGCCGAAAAACGAAAGCTAAGAAGACTTTAAGAATTTACGAATGGTGTAATCGGAAAACATTAAGCAATAAAACAAGAGAATAGTGAATGGCAATACCTTGTAGGGATCCATGCTAACGGATGAGAGTGAGAGACGAAAGAAGAGGATGAGAATGAGATTAGGCAAATGGCAACGCTAGTTCATTTCGTGTGGTAATCGCGAGTCTCACCGCCTTATAAAGACTCCCTATTTTTTTTTTTTTTTCAAAATTTAATACTTTTTTTATATTTTTAAAAAATATAATATTATTATCAACGAAATTCTCGAGAACAAGATAAAGCCTTGTTGGACGACGGAAAATAAATTATGTAAAAAATTAATGATAATATTTTTAGTTAAAAAATAAAAAATATTTTTCTGTTTCTCTGGAAAATTAATTATCAGAGAACTCAAACTTTTGTGTGTATAATTAACTAAAGAGCGAAAACGTGAAGGAACGAAAATATCGTATCCGATCCATAAAAAGTTTGATGTTACTAAAATAATTTTTTATATCCTAAAAATTTAATATTTAATACTAACCATAGTAACTGTCGTTGTTATTTAATTTTCTATTAATATGAATTGTCTGCATATATCATGTTCATAACAGTATTAAAGAATGAAGTGTAGGATGATAACGATTAAAAATGGATTATCTTAACGGATGACAATAAACTTGACTTTTATTATATTTTATGTCCACATTTATTTCACTTTTTTGCTTGAAATCCAAAAGGACCCAAGTACTGATAAATACGCAATCTCGCCACATCTCGGCGATATTTTGTGGGATGCAGCGACTGAGGACCACAATTATTATTTTATGGTGGGAATAAAAAAGGCATAGATAAGAGTAGGATTAAGTTGAGAAAAATATTAAAATATTTGAGAACGTCATGTACTCATGCTTCCTTATCTTTGTTTCGGCCTTTTCTTTTAAGTCTAGCCTTAGCGATATGTGAGATAGTGACATGGACCATTCCTAACGTCACACGCTGCCCAATGTTCTTGAAACGTGTTCTCCCACCAAAATTATATCAAAATATTAGTTATATTTTATTAAAAAACTAACAGTTATTAAAAAATAGTTTTACTATACTTTATATCTTTTGATTTTATCTCATCAATTATTTTATTCAACATTTTTTTTATTTCACTTTATTTTATACTTTATTTTACAACTTATCTGAGAATATTAATGGATGAAATTATATATTAAACTGCATAAATCACAGATCATCAGGGTCCTTTGACGCACCCAAAGGGCAATTTTTGCTTTGGAGGGCATGTTGCCAACTTCAAGCCCTTCAAAATAAAATAAAATAATATATATATATATATATATATATATATATATATTTTCATGCATTAACCGTATAAATATTAGAGTATTAATTACTAAACATGTTTTTATAAAATTTAACAATTTTATTGTTGTTTACAGTGAAAATTTGATCGATTTCAATTTCTCGAAACTTAGGTTCTAATCAAATTTTAACCACGCAGATTCTTTTACTTAGACTAGCAAACAGTTTTCAATCGAAACATGTATGAGAATCGAGAATACTATAGTGTCGAGAAATGCAATATGTCACACAAATTGACAATCGAAAGTAGTCTTTTTGATATTTTTATTAAGAAACGTGAAGTGAAGGAAACATTAAAACGCATCGAAAATAAGAGGCAATACATAATATTAAATTACAGAGAAATGTAACTGCAGAAACCTTGAAATTAAGAGATGTAAATGGCGGGAATCGAAATAAGTGAAAATAATATAGCAGGAAATCGAAATTGCAGTAATGTAAATAACTGGAAACTGAAATTGCAGAAGTGTAAATGACAAAACGCAGAATCTTAACTTGCATAAAGATAACAATGACAAAGAATTGAAATGACAGAAACTTAAAGTTGATAAACGTAAATTGCAGGAAAATAAATTGCATGAACATAAGTTACCAGGGGAAGTAAAGAAAGCGGTAAAAACAGTCAATGAGAATGGAAATCCAGATCGCCAGAAACTTCATGATTCGTCGTTCTCCGGTAGACTTTTCACTTGGGTCTATGTTGTCTCTGCCAATTTCCCTCTTCTTCTTCAAGCTTCGTTCTATTTATAGACATCCTTCAATGTAACCTCCCAAGAGCAGTTTAAAAATTGTCACCACATTCCTTGTGCACGTTCCTCGATTTTTTTACCTTAGTTTACGGTTTAGAAAACCGCTTCCACGTTAAAATACGCATTATAACCGTCTCTCGATTTCCAACTTCAGCCGCGATGTGAAAGGCCACTCTTCGTGTTCTATCTATATGATAACTGTTTCCCTCGATCTCGATTCCAGTTATCGAGTTCAATTTCCCTTAACCTTGACTTTATCATTACTTTCATCGATTTGTTTCTCTCTTTTCTGCTTTTTGATTTTCGTTCTCGATTTATATGCTCTTACCATCTCATGGTCACCGGGCGTCCTCCAACCATTTTTCCGATTTATCAACTTTTTAACCAATCGTATAGTGTTTGATTTTCTTTCTTCTGTTTTTCGATCCTCTTATCGATTTTTTACTAACAAAATGCCCCCTTGGAAGAATATAAATAATTGTATCAATTTTATATTCTTTCAAAATAATTCCCATCCTCAAACGTTCTTGAGACTTAAAATAACTTTTTTTAGGGTTTAGGGTTTCTGGGGTTTTTATGTCAAATATCAGATCACATCACATCTGCTGTCACAACGCGTATGCCGCATTAATTACCCTTTTCGTATTCGTCGTTTCAAATACCCCAGTCGCCCGCTTTAAGTATTCTTATCAGTTTTTTACCACGAACCTAAGTTGCACCTTCTCTTCATCTTCAATCCTTCCTCAAACTGTAATGGCGACCTCCAAATCCTCCGACTTCTCCGCCCCACCACTTTCCTCAGTAATTTTGACTTTGCTAGAGATAAACGGGAAGAAGTTTGCTCCGGTTCCTTTGATGGAAGAAGCCTCCCAAAAGATTGTCGAGACCCAGGTACTTATCCCTTACGTCGCTGATAGTATAAATTATGCGTTTGGTGGTCCTATCCGCTACTATGGCGGATCGTTTTCTTCTTCCCTCAGCCTTTCTTCAGAGAGTAAAGTTCTTATTCATCAGTCCGAGGTTCGAATCGATTTTTTGAATACTGTCTCAAAAGAGTATCGAACGGGCCCTCCCCACAAAAAACCTTTATACATTAGATGGTTCGACCGAGTAAAAACTAAGTTTGGGAATCATTGGAGAAATGTAGGGATCTTCGATTTCCTACATCTGTCTCGATGTGATCTGTCGTTTTTAGATATGACCATGTTTCTATCTACTGTTCATCTGTGGAATAAAGATTTACATGCACTGGAACTTCCCTGTGGTCCCCTTTCACCCACTCTTTCTGAAGTTGCTGCAATTACTGGACTGAAACCCACATGGGAGAAATATTTTAAGAGTGCTTTCCCCTCGGATGATTCTCTAAGGTCAAAAATCGATTGGGAATTGAATGCATATGGACATTTCATCGAAAAACGTTTTGTCGACGATCAATCGGTAGTTGTTTCCGATGAGGAGCATGTGGCATTCCTAGTATATTGGCTCTGCACTCACGTCTTTTGCCCCCGATCCATCCAAATCTCGTCCCACCTCTATAATCTTGCCTATCTCCTCCATACTGGCCAACCCAGGATTTGTTTAGCGAAGCTATTATTGGCCCATGCTTATGCTTCTTTTGATGAGGCTGTCGATATTTTGAATACTGCAAGCGCCTCAGGGAATTTTTCGGGTCCCATCTAGTTTATTCAATTATGGCTTACCTCGATTTTTGAAAGTATCCTCCCCCTAACCTCCAAAATCCCCTCGAGTATGAATTTAGAAGGCGTTTGATTATCCTCTCGACATCCTCACCAAAAATCCGACGAGACTAGTTATCAAAATTACCTAAAAAATTTTGTTGACTCGATTTGATTTTGAGTCAAACTTGGCCCCTTTCACCGTATATCATGGAAAAGTAAGTGACAAGCTTCGAGGGCCGACATGGTTTAAATCAAAATTCCCTGCTCTTACTCCAGGGTTGCAATCAGAATTGGTTGAAGTGTAGAGCAATTACTTGACCCAGGATGTTTTAGTATCGGGTTTTCAATCGAAGGATCTTCAACTCGTCATCTATTATCCCCAGCTCTTTTCGCGGCAGTTTGGTTTAAGTCAGGCTTTACCCTTTTTCCCCCTCGATACTTCCCTAAGGTCCAAATTAAGTGAATCAAATGTTGGACGGGAACTTGCCAAACTGTTACCGCAAAGCTCGATGCATTTCTATCCTTATGCTTTTGAGTCGAATTATTTGTCTACTCTTGGTTTTTCTCAATGGTGGACCGATTGGTTTTCAAGTATTCATTCTAATTTTGATATAGTCCAATCGAAATTGACTGCACGACCTTCTCTCGTGTTGCAGGATAAATCGAAGGCAAAAAAAGGTACATACTCTCATTATCTCCAAATATCTCGATTTAAAATTTTTTATCGAGAATGCTACAACCCCTTGAAATTAGAAGAGACATTTTATAATGTTGTTATCTCCCTAGTTAATAAAACAGATACCAACCGATCGAAGCACAAAATAATCAACCCTCGAGGAAAAACTCCGTTTGAAATGTATTGTCCCAACCATCTTCCCACTTTTCCTACAGCTCCCTTTGGAATCGCCAAACCTTTAACTCATCCTAAGTGGGTTCGAGAGTTGAGATCCCTGAAAGAAACTCTTTCACCCAGACCTAAGAATAGATAGATTTCGATATCTAAACTGTCATACTTCCCTTACCTAAATCTTCCTCAAACTCTTCTTCCTCTCTGGCTTGTCCATATCGACCGAGTCAAGATTTTAACTCCATCACCCTTTGGTGAGATTTTACTGCCTCTTTTAGGAATATTTTTAATTTTCTTCAAATTACAAGCTAACTGTTTCTCTTTTTCGATAGTTTCGAAGTCTCACAAAGTCACCACCTCTGAGAAAAACTGGGAGTCTTCGGATGAATCAAATCCCTCTGCCCCCACTCAAAAGCGAAAACATTCTGCCACGATTTCTTCATCTTCGAGAAAATTGAAGGTTTCTTTTCGATTCCCTATTATCCTTGTTTCTTCGACTTCCTTTTTCTATAGCTGATTCACTTCTCATTTCAGAAACAAAAATCAAAGAAGAGTCCTCGAGCCATTCAACCACCTACCATGAATCCGTTATCGACGGACTCTAACACGGTCAGCAAAGCGGACCAAACGACACCCACCACTCATTCGAGTCACGTAAGACCCCTTTTCACGTAAATTTTGTATATCTAGAATTCGACAAGGCCCATAACATGATTCCAAATTTTGATATTTTCAGGATCATCCATCGGCTACGGTATCAACGAATGTCGATTCTTTACTTCAATCATCAACACCCATTCTTGAGGTACAACTCTTAAAATTTATGTGTATTTTTATACAACTTGTGTCACACATTTCCCTTTCTAACCTTTGTTTTGATTCACAGCAACCCGAGGCTGTACAACATCCCTCTCCCGCACCAACACCCCTCGATCCACCTTCCCCTGGTAATAATTTCTTCCTTTACTGCTCAATTCTACTTCATTTTTTATTAAGATTTTTTGATTTATTCCCTCAAATCATTTCCTTTCCAGCAACTATCCCCGTAGTCCAAGTTCCAGATTCCCCTCCACCAATTTTTTCAGAGCAACCGGCTTCCCCACCTTTTGCGCTTCCATCTATCGAATTGCTTTCGTCTTCGCTGCCTGAAATAAGCGATCCTACTCCAGAGGATTTGTCGGAATATCGAACCGCTATTGAAGAAGATCCTTTCTCGATCCTTGATATTCTGTTGTCTGAAGATGTCACTCCTTCGAACCAGTTATCCAAACCGCCCACGACATCGACCGAAGAAGCGCACCAACTGATCCAACGATTTAGGTCCTTCTTCT